TCCACACGCTCCTCTCTCCCTGCAGGGGCTGGAAGGTGCAGGTCAGGCTTCTCTTCTGCTCCTTTTGGCCTTCCTTAAAGTCTAAAGCCACCCTCCAGTGTCTCTCTGCAGGTGATTTCAGTTCCCATCTACTACAAGCACCTTGTTATTAATTTCTCTGCTTCCCACCCCAAACCATCCACATGGGCTGCTCTCTGTGCCTCCCCAGACTGAGACAGATGCCTCTTCGCCTCACCAGGCTGCCTCCTCCCTGCTCTCCCCGCTCCAGCCTGCTCCATAAATGCTACCTTCTTTCAATTATTCCACTTGCCTTTCCAGTGCTTTGCTGTCCACTCCCGCCTTCCCTCTGACTAAATGATGCTCAGTTGCATTTGATTCCCCACCAAAAAGCGAGAGGTAAACCCCTTGGCCTGGCTTCCTATCCTTCTCCAAGCTTGTGATCATCTTGGTCTGCCCCGTCTAGAGCCAAACTTCTCAAATACAGAGAAGCTACCTGCTCCATGCGCTCCCGCTCTCTCTTTGATCTGGCTTCTGTCCCTGCGTGGCCACCAGCATCATCCCCTCAAAGGTCACTGTTTCCTAAGACCCCTTCAGATCCCTACCTGCTTCCCACAGAACCACACACTGTGGGCAACTCCCTCTTCCGTCCCCATTCATCCTTTCCTCGCTGGCTGGCATAGCAGCCCAGTCCCCTGGCTCCCACTCCCCCACTGTGCACTCAGCCCGTGTCACTGCCAGATGCACCTCCTGAGGGCACGGCCTCTAGAGCTCCCAATCAGGGCTTCTGCTCAGAAACCCTCAGTGGCTTAGCACAGTCCACAAAGGGGAGGGGAAGGATGGGGAAAAAAGTTTTCAAACAGGAAAAATCAGGGAGTGTAAAAGTATCACAACACATAACATAGAATGCAATGATCCATTAGGAATTTCAAACTTTTTAAAGCAAACTTTAAAAAAAGAAATCAAAAATCTATTAAGAAGAATTATTAAGAAGGCCAGTGTTTAAGGTGCATGAAGACAACATGCTCTTTAAAATAGTTTCTATTAGTGGAGGAGAGTGTGGTAACACATGCCTGTAATCCATCCCTCTTGGAGGCTGAAGCAGGAGAGCAACAAACTCACGATGACTTGTCTCAAATTTAAAAAAAAAAAAAAGATGGAGGATATAGCTCAGTGTAAAGGCCATGGGTTCAATCCCCAGTAAAATCAATCAATCAGTCAATAAAATTATAAGTCAAATATTTAAAAATAGAGGGGATAAGAAATTCTAAGATTCTCAAAATAAAATATGAAAACTCACATTAAACCCCTCCATCTTCAAATAAGAAAACTGAGGCCCAGAAAAGGAAAGTGATTGGCAGAAACTGGCACAGGTTGTGAATCAAGCTACGTTCTCATGAAGTGTTTATGGGCTACCAAGCAATACAGCAGAGAACAAAACTGATATGGCCTCTGTGCTGGGGGAGCTGCCAGGCTGGTGGGAAGCGAACCAAGCTTTATACAGGGGGATTGAGGCAGTCTGCAGAGAGACACAGGAGGATCTGAGAGAGAGAGAGAGGACTGGCCTTGTCCACCGTGAGGAAATGACACACACAGACCAAGCCCGAAGGGAGAAGTAGGAGAATGTGGGTGAGGCTAAAACGGCTCTGGTACTGGGGAAGTTTGGTGGTTGGACTGTCGGGAAAGCTCAGCAGCTCCTACCAGTCTGGGAGCAGGGAGAGACAAGGACGCAGAAGCAGGCAAGCGTCCCCTACGCCCTGCTGAGGACCTGACAATGGCTTCAGAGTCTAGCAGGCCAGGGAGGCCTTCAGAGTCTCACACACCCACCCAACCATTCCCATTAGAAGACGACGCTATGCTAAGTGTAAGCGGATTCTAAACCAGAAAATAGACATTAGGGGGAAACTTAGGGAAATCCAAGTAAATGAATAAATAAATCCAAATAAAATCTATGTAGTCCATTAATAGTTTATTATAAGGCTAATTTATTAGTTTTGATGGATGTGTCATAATTATATAAGATATGAACTTTTGGAGAAGTTGCATAAAGACAATATGGAAACTCTGTTACTATGTTTGCAAGTCTTTTGTATATTCAAAATTATTTCCAAATAAAAAGTCTTCACACACACACACACACACACACACACACACACACATACATTCCTGCGGCAGAAAAAAAGCAAAATTGGTTGTAGAGAAACAAATTACAGCAATAATGATGACTAACACTTAAACAGTGTTCCTCATACACCACGTATGTTCCAAGTAAAATGTCTAATTCACTTAATCCTCACAAAAACCCCATGAGGTAGGTGCTATTATTTCTCTCTATTTACTCAGAGAAATCTGAGTACATAGACATTAAGTCACTTGGCAAAGACACACAGCTACCGAGGGTCAGAGATTATGTTTAAGAATTTGAGCGGGGGCAGTCTAGCTCTGGGGTTCCGTGTGTCTGACCAGTGTGTTACCCCGTCTCCTCAGTGTGTACCAGCTACCCTGCCAGCTGGCATTGTAAGCTAAGGACAACAAAGAAATCAAGAATTCAGGGACAGGGTGATAACAGCAGAAGTGAAACGATGTCATTAGACATAAAATGTAGATTGAAGGCAAAATCAACAGGGCTGGCTTTAGAACGGGGGTATGATAGTTAAACATGGAAAAAGCAAGAATGGCTCCAGGGATTGTAACTTGCCAGTAAGGGACAAGGGCCTGCTCTCCTGATGGTAAGCCCTGTACTTCTGCAGGAGACCTCACAGGGGCCTTGCACACATCTCACTGGCTGCATCAACCTGTCCCTTGCTTCCTCACATCCCCAGAATGCAAAACAAACTGAGCTGTCTGCTGATCCACTCTGCCAGGACCTCACCTACCTCTGTGCACCTCCATGTCTTTGCACAAACTGTGCTTCCTCTTCTGCCTCCCATGGCCCAAATCTGATGTCCTTTAGGGCCTCTGTCAAATGTAACATTTTCCTTTCCTGCATGTTTAAAGATGATGAATGATCAACCAGACAGTGTCACCTAATCGCCACTATTTCTTCACCCAACGCATCCATGGGAAGATGTGCCTTGTCCCCACTGATACACCTTCTCTGCAAGCTCATTTAAGAGCAGCTAATTCAAAAATCCCTGCTTCCCAGAAGCAGAAAACTGACAGACACCGGTGTATCTGGAATTGGCCCCCTCCAACCCATCCATTTCATACCTGCCGTGTGCCAGGTGCATGGTCTTAAGGCCACAAGCAGGGAAGTCACTTCAGCCCTGGCCCTTAAAGCACTTGCCAGCCAGATAATAGGTTCTTGGCTTTCCAAATGGCCACCACGAATTTGACAGGCCATCCTTCAGTTTAAAACCCACTTCCAGTGACTATTTGACACAATCCAGAGATCTGGAAACCTGTCTCCTCCTCCAGCTTAGGTTGAAGTTAGGACCAAGCACTGGTGGGCGCCTACCCCACCCCTAACTGTTGATCTTTCCTTATGCAACTTCCCTATCCTAAACCCAGCTCCCAGAAACCTTGCCCTCCTGAACTTACTTGCATCTAAAAGATGCCGTACTCAGTCAATGGTCCCTTCCCATATACTGCAGCCCAGGCTAAACTGGCCCCTTTCCCTGTGACCCACCAAACCCACGCCACACAGCGACCTTAATCACTGCTTCTTTAGGCAACTGTTTCTGGTCTCTCCCTGCCAGTGCCACCAGACTGAGTTCATAAGGGCAAGGACAAATTCAATGGCCATTCTGTGTACCCTAAACTTGGCACAGTATTTCGCTACAGACAGCTGGGGTTACATGTGTCAAATGTAGAAGAGGTCATCGAGGAGGAGGGCGAGTGTTCAGTGCAGAGCTGAACTTGACTTCTGCCCAGGAGACACTCCTCACCCCTCCTCCCTGGGCCTCTCCTACTCCCCCAGAATTTACATCTTATCAGAAACAAGCTGGTTCCCTCTGCTCCTGCCCGCTTGGAGGGCAAAAGGGCAAAGGTAACGTTGCTTGTTCCTGCCTCTGGGGACACCTCGGCTCTCCAGTGGGAAATCCTGTCTGTCTGCTTCCCCCGGGCCACAAACAGGGACAAGAGGTCTAGAGAGAAGGGGGAGAGGACAAGGTTCGGGCTGCCAAGGGCCTTGGCAGAACGCCGACCATACCCGGATGTAGTGGGTGGTGACAGCATGGGACTGAGAGCCCCTGCCCTGCAGGGGACAGACTGGATGGGCCACTTTTGTGGAAATTCTGCAAATCGCCCAGAAGTGCAGGGAGAGGGAACCGAGAGAGGTTTCGTGCTTACTTTGGGGGATGGGAGGGTGCTTCGATTATTGGAAAAGGAACCTCTGGTGGCGGTAGGGTTACAACAAACACCCTACCAGAAACCCGAGTGCCCCATCTCAAACGCTAATGCCCTCCGCGGGCTTCTCAGCGGCTTCCGCATGGCCGGGTGCAGAGACGCACCTCCCTTTCACCGACCCCCGAGAGGCAGCCCTGGTTCCAGGGTTCTAGTCTGAGCTCTGGCACTCTCTGCCCTGGACAAGGCGCCTTGGTGTCATCTGGTTTAGTTTCATCTGTGAAATGGGTCAGGAATAGAGGACAGGGCTGCCGCAGCCCTCTCCGCTCGGACACGGCTAGGGCCAGCGTCCTTCGCAAGGCGCCTCCGCGGCCGCCCCCCGCCCTATCCCGACTCCACCCCCACCCAGTCTCGTCTCCCCGAAACCGGCCGCTAGGGGTCACTACGTCCCTTTGTCAGCGATGGAGGCGGGCAGCCCTCCCTCCGGCCCTCTCCGGGGCTGAAAGGCGACCGAGGGGCATCTGGGAGCCGGAGTGGGATCCCGCAGCCGCCGCTCGCGTCCGCCTCTGCGGGGGCCCGGGAGGTGCGGGCGGGAGCGCGGGCGGAGGCCGAGCCGGGTCGGGCGCGCCGGGGCAGGAGGGGGTTAACGCTAACCCCTCCCCCGGCTGACATCACGCACTCCGAGGCTGGAGCTCGCGAGTGAGAGAAAGAGAGGGAGAGGGACGAGCGCGGCTCGCCTCGGCGCCCAGGCAGCTCCACATTGTTGCGGATCGCCTGCACCCGGCGGAGCGGCGGCAGCCAGCGGGGACGCGCGGCGCACCCGGCGGCTCCTCCAGGCGCCCGGACGCACAGCCCGAGCCGCGCCCGCAGCCGCCACCGAGCCGCACCGCCCGGGCCCCGACCCTCCGCGCCGCCCGGGCTCGTCCCGCCGCCCTCGGAGGACGGCCGGCCATGGACGCCTGCAAGTTGGAGCCGAGAGGGCGGGTGTGAGCGCGCCGGGGGCCGGGAGCCCGCGCCGCGCAGCCGGGCAGCCGGGCGCGCCGGGGGTGGGTCCCTCTTCTCCCCAGCCCGGCTCTGCGTGGAAGAAGAGGGCGGGGACCGGCGCGGGGAGGAGAACCGAGGTGGCGAAGGGGGCATGACTCGTGCAACTTGCGGCGGGCATCTGCCGAGCTTCTGAGCCGGCTGCACCCCGGGCCCGGATCGCGGCCGCGCGCGCGGAACCCACCCAGCCCAACCCGTTTCGGCCGACGGCTGCGGTTGACCTGGATCCTCCGAGTGCCTGCGGGCCGCCAGCGATCCGCCCTCGTCTTCCGGGCTGGTTTTTGGAGCGCGGGGAGCGCCCTGCTCGCCGCCCCTCTCACCGGACCCCCGGACCCCGATGGCTCGGATGGAGCTCGCGGGCGCCGCTGGACGCTGGTGGGGACTCTCTCTCTGCTTGACCGCCGTCTTCTTCCCAGGTAGGCGCGTTCATCTCTGACTCCCCACCCACCCCCACCCAGCCAGCGGCTCCCCGGAGCTGGGAACTGGATGGCGGGCACCATCGGGTTGCAGGGAGTGAACGGAGACAGAAAGTTGGGTCATAGCTCTGGTGAGGGGGGTAGGAGGTGGCACGGCAGAGAAAGAGATGAGAACCCGAACAGCCTGCCCTGCAGGAAGGCGGTCGGATGCACGTCTCCGTGTAGCAAGAAAGCACTTTCTCTGCTCAGTTCGTCACGAAAATAATAATATGTACTAGCGTTCCATTTATTTAATAACCAGTTCTCAGCTCGAGAAGCAGTTTGAAAACACTGCATGTTACATAAATACAAAATAATCACGGTAATTCTCGGGGTATAAGACAACAGCCTCAGGGGGAGGTCATCAGTGGGAGCTGGTGGGCTGCGGGTCGGGAAGATGCAGGGGGCTTCGTTTCTTTCGGGGCCTTTTGCCAGACGGTTTCGAGCGCTCAGGCCCCTCCCGCCCCACATCTCACAGCGGACGGACGCTGAGAGCCGGCTTCTGGCTCCTGCGACCGAGGCGGCTCTTGCTCACCTGCAGGTCCTTTTCCTGGAGGGTGAGCGCTCCTCGCTCCCAATTGCAAACTCCTTGCGCGGGACTGGGCTCCCTGGGCTCCGCCTGGGAACTCCGCTCCTGAAGCAGAGGTTCTCCCCGAGGGAAATGCCGCGGGCTTCTTGCCAGCCAAGGTGGCTGCGTGACCCACTTTCCCGAGGGACCCTGAGGACACTCCGCATGTCCTTACTCGAGGCGCCAGCAGCCGAGGGGTTAACTCTAGGCCTGACCCAAGGGTAGCCCTTAGTAGCCCATTCTGACCGGTGCGGTGGGGGGTGGGGTGGGGTGGGGGTGGAGGCAGACCGGCGTGGCACATTGTGCTGGGGAATGAGCTGGAAAATGCGTTTAGAAGGCAAATCCCACCGGGTCCCCTTGCCTAGTTTTAACCCTTTGTGTCCCTGGGGAAGCTACGGGGCTCCCCTCGGGACAAACAATTTAGATCAAGGTAGGGGCAGAGTCCCTCTAGCCCTCTGGGAAGAAACCTGAGATGACTTCTGGCCCTAGCTGCATAGGTTTTGGAAGGTAAGGTGGCCCTTGACTTGGAGCACGTGGTCTTTACCTTGGGACAAAATTAGGAGGGTTAGAAAAAAGACCATTCCTCCAGTGGTAAGAATATTAGCTCCCCAACTTATGATGCTGCAGACTGGTGCCTCAGTTTATGAACAAGGAACCAGCCAGGCTGTCCAGCTTTGTGGCCTGCGTGCCATCTGGGAAGGAGAATTCCAGTCTCCTTCACTTCCCTTGCCAGCCAGCCCATGCTAGGGCTCAGTGAAGCTGCTTGGTGATGGATGCCAGGAAAAGCAGTTTTCAAAAGCAGGTAGGGGGTGTCCCCCCGTCCCCGCTGCCTAGTGTCTCCCTCCTAGGATGGGGGGAGTGGAGAGTCACAGGGGCATGCCTGAACCCCTCACAGTGTGGTCTTGGTGAGAGCAGGAGGTCTTCATGTCACACTGGACAGCCCAGGAAGCCAGCAAGGCTTAGAAGCTCAGGCTGGCTGCAGGACATGCCTGACCACCAGGGCTTGAGCACCCGGAATCTTTTGATTCCATTTGTCATCAGCCAGAATCCAGAGAAAGCTTTCCCAGAGCACTGGCGATTTCTAGCACACTAGGGGTTAACCTAATCCCAGGATGGACAAAGGGCCTGAAGGTTTGGAGAGAAGGGTGATCAGCCACCCCTCAACCCCTCCTTTTGTTACTCTCCCTAGCTTTGTGTGGCAGGCTGCTAATTCTGTTTGGGAGGATGGAAGAGAAGAGGGTACCACCCACTCAAGGTGGGGGCAGGGAGGTGATACTCACCTGGTTCAGAGTGGATACCTCTCTACCCACGAAAGGTCTAGATGGGGAAGTGGGATGCCTAAAACAGAACCGCAACTGAGGCAGGCACTTAGTAAGTGTTCTTCCACTGGTTGTGACTGGTGGATGGACAATTCAGACGCAGCGGAAGTTCCCGGACTCACCAGGCTCCTGGACCCAGGGCCTGGGCACCTGATGCCTGTGCTTGCTCTCTCTGGCATCCACTGTGGAGGGAGGGAGGTGGATGTGTCCACTCTGACCCTTGGGGAGAGAAAGTCAGAAGGTACCAAAGTTACCAGGCCAGCCCTCCCTTTGTGCCAGTCCCCAGCTCCCTCCTGACTGCTCTCTGAGAACTACCGTTCTTTTCTGGGTTCTTCTGGACTGTGACAGGGAGTGTTGAGTGGGTGGGGAGGGAGGACCTCCCCGACATGTGTGTGATGGCCCCTGACTTCAAAACACTCCCAACTGGCAACTGAAGCGTGCACACAGAAGTGTTTCAGCAGTGTCCACTGCACCAGGCAGGGTGATGAAGGCCACAGCCTGTCTTTCCTGAGATGGCAAGCTTGGCTGCTTCCCGCTAACGTAAAGGAGAGGGTCAGTGGGGCACATGGCCTGAAGAGGGACTGGGCAGCCAAAAGAGGAGGACGAGGTGGAGAACCTGCTTGGGAAGCAGGTGTCCCACCCACACCGCACCCTCCCTAATTGGCTTCCCTACACCTTTTGTCTGGAAAGAGAACACACACCCTAGATAGCATGCACACCCTCAGAAGACCTGTCTGGCCACCGTGTCCCTCTGCGGCCTGTGCTCAGCTCCCTGTCATAGTGGTTTCCTTTAGCACTCCAAGTGTGGAAGCTATGGATTATTTCTCCCTTTCTCCATTTTCCATGGACCACAGTATGCTCGGACTTGCTGGGTAGGACATATAGCAAAGCTAATTCTGCTGGCCTGGGGCTTGCAGCGTGTGTATGTGGCCCTCTCCAGGGCTGTTTTCCAGGCAGCCCTGGGAAGGTTGTCTCAATCCCATTCAAGGCCTCGTCCTCAAGGTTGGAGGGAAGGAAGAGGCTGCAGAACCTGGGCCCTGTCTGAATGGCTTAGAAGGTGTCCCTTACACCTGGACTTCTGAGCACGTGGTAGCCCCTGGGTGTCTGATGCTGTGGCAATCAGGAGAGCCATCAGGTCCTTTGCTGACCACTTGGCTTTGCACAGTTAGTCCACCTTGTCCACGTTTGGGCTCCCTGACCTGTGGGCCCAGTGGTGTCCTGCCAGCATGGCTGTGCCAGCCAGAGCCCTGGTGCTGACAGCTGAGCCAGTGAGCCAGGCTGGAGGGGCAGAGGGGCAGCTCCGTTGCTGTATCTGTGATGCTGCTATTGTTCAGCATGACTAATGTTCATTGTTGAGCACAAATAGAAAACACCCAAGGGAGGTGTGAATGTATCTTCAATTTTTTTGATTATATCTTTCCTGGTTAACCTGGTAAATGAAATACTTCCTACTAGGGGGAAGAGCAGATAGAGAGGTAACTACATATTCATCTGTTTGGATGATTTTTTTTTTTTAATTTTGAAAATTTGCCAGCATGCCAGGCTGCCATTTGCCAGTTGTGGAACTTAACCTACAACATTTCGGACGGTCTCACTTTTGGTCTAGTCTGAGTGTGTGCACACATGTGTACAGGGCTTTGTGTGTTTGTGTCAGTCATCTACAGTCCACTATTGCAAGTCCAAATCCATGGGGATTGAGATTAGGAAGTGTGTACTTTCAACTGTGGGTCACCGTGGCATTGGTGCATAAATATATAATATCAAATGGCTATTCACACATTGCTGATTTCTCATAACATACTGATGGATTTTGTGAATGATTGGGGGCCTTGACAGTGCCCGTATTGATGTCCGAGTGTCCGTGCAGGTGGCTGGGAAGAGACCCAGGATTTGCCCTCAGCTAGCTCTTGCCAGGACCAGCTGCCAGGTCTGCCTTTGCAGGGTAAGAACCCTGGACGCTGCTCCCTCTCTGTTCTCTATCCTTGACTTTAGAAACCTCTACATCCTTCCAGGATGTAAGAGACCTTGCCATTACCCAGAGAGGATCTGGTGCTAACTGCCCCCACCCTCACCCCGCCTGCCCGGCAGGTTCTCACCATCCCTGAATGGCTGGGAGGCAGGTTTTCAGATCCTAATTTAGTATCTTTGCTTCCTGTATTTGTGCCTGGGAAAAGAATTGTGGAGGGTGGGGGTTAAACATACCTTGAACTTTTAAAAAAGGTTATGGTTGTGGGCTTTAGCTTTCCATTAAAAAATGTGCAAGGGACCCAGGGCAATGTCCGCATGCCTGGAAGCATCCTGGTTTGAGCGGCAGAAAGCAGGAGCCCACTTGTTAGAAAAGAAGCAGGAGAAATGGGCATAGAGCAGAAAAAGCAACGCCCAGGAAGCCCAGTCCCCCATGCATTAGGCCAGCTGGGAAGTGTACCCCCTTGACGCGCACCCTACTCCACAGAGACCAGGTCTACAGAGCCAGCAGCAGGTGTGCTGGCTGGGGCTGCAGGTAACTTAAGATCCGAGCAGGGATCACCTTGCAGAGGGAATGCCCTGAGCTGGAGATAACCCCCCCTTGGGCCAGTTAACCCCTGCAGCTCTGGATTCTCTGGTGTTGTTTGAACCTGGGAAGTGGAGGAAAGGAAGAGATGTGAGAAAGGACATCAGACATTTGTCAGAACCTTGACCCATTCTATGAGGCGAGGTGAACTCTGTAACAGGAGGCATGCAGGGAGGCCTCAAAGACTTTCCAACAGCAGATTGTAGGCGGTTCGAGGCAGTGGATAATCCCAGGTTTATCCTGGGGAGGGTTTGGGGCAGACTATTGGTTTATATTCTTGGGACCCATGGAGCTGTGCTTTTCATGATTCCTCAAGGAGGGGATGGCAGCAGATGGCTCTGCTGTCTCCTTACAGCCTGGTGATGACCCCATCTTGGTGGCCCAGCACAGTGAGACTTCAGAGTGGGATGAGTTGACCTGGGTTGGAATCCCAACTCTCTGGATGACCAACTGAGTTACCTTGGCGAGGGCACTTGTGGGGCCTCAGTGTTTTCATCTGTAAATGGGTTCAGATAATACAGAT